AGAATGGATACTAGATCTTGATTCAGTTCTCTCAGATTTCCTTGCTGATATTGCTTCCACAATGATCTCATGACGGCTTTCTCTCAGATTGGCACAAATTTCTTTGACTTCAGACTTTCAGTGAAAATATGAACAGAGTCTCCACTCTCCACACATACATACCAGCTTCTTGCATCACAAAGCCAGAAAATACGACCAAAATACCAGATGCATACGAACAGACTTAAGCAGTATTGAACCCTGGATAACTCTCCTTTAACAATAACATGAGGCTCAATAGATGATAATTACTTAGAATCAGCTGTCCTGACATCAACCAGACACCGCTGTCGCCAATAGAACAGGATCTGAGCCTGACGTACGCACAGAACAGTCTCTAGTTGATATAGTAGCAATTCTGAGCAAGATCTTTCTCGTGTTGCATTCTTTCACGACCGTATTTCTCTAACAACACCTGATGCTCACACTCACTTCTTGGACACATGTAGCTTAAAGAATGAGACTAAGTTCTATTGCTCAGATTAGGTAAAGTCACTTCACAAGTTCTTCAGCACAATTTATTATTATGACGTACTTTCATACCTCTGGATGAACTTTACACATATTTCCTTCTTCCACAAGTCATTACAAGGTTACCATCCAGTCCTTAATCACAACCAAAAAGCTTCAACGTGGTCCTTCAGAACTTTGATACGCAAACCATGATTTCTTCTGTAAACTCCACATATCTCTTTCGCACCGGCTTTAGTTGAATTCTCATTTCTGATGGTTCACGATGTAAATCAGACGAATTCTTTGCAACTCCAATTTATCCTCAGTCACCGTTGCTGAAACTTTCTTCCTTCCTCAGAATATAAGCTGCAAGAACACATGGCAAGACATACATGATGAACCTCTTCTTTCTTATCAACTAGCCACAAATCCAGAATCTCACCCGAAATAAGAACTGATCTGACATGATCACTAGTGGGAACCCGCTCTCATACCAATTGTAAGTGTATATTTGTGGCTAGATCTATGTGTTCAAGTATGTATAGAGTATGTATGAGCATAAAGTACAGAACATATAGAGATTTGTTAACGAGAGGTTCGTTTCCTACATCTCCAGGACCATGTTCAGAAACCATTCACTAGAAAAGGTCGCAACCTACAATTGCTATATGGTATCTAGCACACACTTGTGCTTACCACTCTTATCTAGATTACAATGGTTAGAGAAACTACTACTCATTAATTTTATGAAGAGCATAGTTCTCTACCACCAACAAATCTCACCATTTGTCTGGTGGGACGACGCCACATACCTGTGTGCCTCTCTCAAGAATGCCGTGGGCGCATGCCTTTTTCTTTGACGGCCTCCTGGTATTTATCTGACTGCTAAACCCTAAAGTTAGGGTTTCCACACAATCTTTCCTTTTTTCTTCTCTTAACAATAAGTAAGTTTTTCCTCATCTTAAATATACTATTTAAGATGTTTACTTAATTCAGCATCCTGACTTGTATAACTCAAACTCATGTTCTCCACTTATATATTTCTGCAGTCGCCTCACAACTTAGCTTCTTGAATGACTTCTTGAACCACTTCCTGTACTACTTCGGGATAAGCACATGAAACACTACAAACGTATGCTACATCTTTTCAGTACTTTCTTAAACCAATCAGCATTACATCGTCAGATTATGTTTTGGTTCTTATTGTGGTCAGTGGGTTGTGTGCTTCTCTTTTACTTGGATTAACAAGTATAGTTAATAATGGAGGATTGTACTATGCTTAGTATAAGTTTTTTATAAATCCTATATGTCCACTATATTTAGTGTTATCTCTATATATCATTTTCTGATATTATTATATTATGTTGTAATCATGTATAGTATCGTCACTAATCGTTGAAACATATTTTTATAACTAGTTAATTCATTTGTGATTTTATACTATATTAGTAAGTAATATAGCATAATATGTGTTAGTTTTGAAGTGTCAAATTTACGCGCGCACACACTTAGAAAGAGATTTTAATCACATTTTTGAATAAATAGTGTCATCCATCTAATGCAATTATAAAATAAATATATTTATAACTCTTATAAATATTGAAAACATTAACCCAACATCGGATGACACAAAGAAAAATCAACTCACACTGTATTGTCATGATGTAGCACAAAAGTCACATATATGACCAAACTAAAAGGGTAAAATGTCATTTAAGTATTCAACTTTCAAATTTGGTTGAAATACATCACCAACTTTTTTGTAAGCCAAAAAAATACTCAACTTTTGTTTACAAGTCATTTTAATCACAAACATTTGTCGATTACACCATTTTAGTCATATATTTAGTCAACAGTTATAGCTGACTAACAATATGCCTAAAATGACTTTTAAAAGTGATGATTTTTTGGCACAAATATAAAACAACAATTTTCTATATTTTAGATATTGACAAATATTTAATACTTTAACACTAAGAAAAAATTATAAAAAATAATTCCAACCAAAAACATAAACAGCAATCAATGTAAAATAATTAGTTAATATATCATTAGTTGAGTATCTTAGTTATAAAATGATTATGAAGATGGGCGGTTGACAAAAAAAATATAAATGATTATGAAGATCTTTTTTAATTATTTAAGGTTAATTTTTGTAAATATTTATATAATCCTATTTGGATTATGTTTTATAATTTTATTTTCAGAAATTTGTTAAAGAAATATTAAATTCAACTTTTAATTCTTAAACAAAAAGAGTTATCGATTAATGGATTCTTCATGATTCTTTATATTTATAATAAAGATCTTCAAATAAATCTGTATAATTTTAATAAATTTGTTACAAGATTTTTTTTTCATTTAAATAAAAATAAGTTTCATCAAAAAGTTTGAAGATCTCTAATGTTACCACACTTATAAAATGGAAACTCTTGAAGTAAGAATATTTTGGAGATCTAAAAGTTTGAAGATCTTAACACTTTTTGGTGAAACTTATTTCTTTAAATGCAGAAAAATTCTTGCAACAAATTTATAGAAATTATATAGATTTGTTTAAATATCTTTATTATAAATATAAATAATCATGAGAATAAATTAACTATAAGTCTTTTCGTTTAAGAATCAAGCGTTAAATTAATATTTTAGTAACAAGTTTTTGAAAATAAAATTATAAAACGTAATCTAAACAGGATTGTATAAATATTTAAAATAAAAAATAGTAAATAAATAAAAAATTTGTCATAATCATTATTAACTGAAATGCTTAATTAATCATATGTTAACTAATTATTTTACAATGAGTTCTATTTATATTTTTGGTTAGAATTCTTTTTATTTATATTTTTATTTATTAGTGTATAGTTATTAAAAATATATTTTTCAATATTTCAAAAATATATCCAATACTATAGAAAAATGATGATTTATATTTGTGCCAAAAAAATCATCAACTTTAAAAGTTATTTTAGGCGTACAACTAGTCAACTCGGCTAACGACATGACTAAAATGGTACGGTCAACGAAATTTTGTGATTAAAATGACTTGTCAACAAAATTTGAGTGTTTTTATTGTTTACGGGAAAGTTGGTACTTTATCTCAACCAAATTTGAAAGTTGATGATTTAAATGACATTTTTTCTCAAATTAAAAGAGATTGAATAAGTGTATTTCCGATCCACACAAAAACTTGACCTTCCAAAAACCATCAAAGAGAGAGAGAGAGAGAGCCACCGGAGTGATTTCAACCCCTAACTCCGGCCCGCTGGTTTGGCTGTGTCGGAGGCTTTCCTTATTCCCCTTCCTTTTTTGTTCTTTGCTTTCCTTTTCCCAGATCCAAACCGAGACAATATGCTTGATATTTTGACGTGGTCGTTTCCTCTGGAGGTCGTATGGTGGTCGTAGACGATGCTCTTCGTTTGGAGTGGCGGCGAGTCTAGGGTTGAGCTGAGAAAAGGAGGGTCGGCTTTTAGGATTGAAGGATATGTCAGATCTAATTTTCCCCTTTTCAGATCTAGGGTTTATCCTTCCCGGCGAGGCTGGTGACTCCTCTAGCTCTGAATCACCTCCTTATGTGATGGTGTGAAAGATGGAGGAGAGGTGGTTAACAGACGGAGGAGGCTTGGACAGGATGAACTTTCCTGAAGCTTTCATCAGGGCCTGCTTGCGTTTCTTCCATTGCCAAGATCCGCCTGTCATTCCGGATTGCTGTTCGGTTTGGCCATGGTGCAAGACGGCGAACGACGGTGGCATGATTCGAAATTGGTCTGCGCCTTTAGGTGATGATGCTGCTGGATTACGGACTTGACTCATATCTTATGGAACCCTCAGCTTTGAAATTTCATATTGGAACCCGTTTTGATTCTTGGTTGCAGTATGTTCACGGCTTCTGCATTTCATGGTCTTTTAGGAGTAGTTATTAGTTGGACTGTATGTCCGTTCGTGGCTAGTGATAGTAACAATTGAACACCATTGGATACAAGCTTCTTTTGGAAACGCACTTTCGGGTGAAGATGCTATTGGCCACGTACATCATGCTGATCCTGAGAGGCGATAGCTTAGCGTAGAACTGTTTTTTTTATTAGAACTTGTGTATTAATGTGATAGTAGTTGTTTTTTGTCTTGTGGTTGAATGTAGGGGTCTAAGAGGTGAGGCTCATTTCGAGTCATGGAGTGAGCTCATTATCATTGTGGTTGAAAATGCAATAGTGTTTCACTCGGGTAGCGTTGAATCCTAGTTAGTGATTCAGGGTGGTACTAGATTACACCATTGTATCAGTGGTCAAATTCGGTAGAGGTCAAATCGTTTCTATCTTATTGAATGGGTGAATGAAAGTTGATGTTGAGCCAAAAAAAAAGAATAAGTGTATTTCCCTAAAATTTTCCCAAATTTATATATGTTTAGATATAAAAAAAAATTGGATCTAAACCGTATTCGAACAAAACCAATTTGAAAAAGAGATTTGAACCGTAAAAAAAGATGTTGGTTGTGTTGTGGTCTTTTTCTTTCCCCCGGAGCGGTGATAACAAGGAAAAAAAAAAAGATGGGTTCCTTTTCGTTTCTGGAGATGCCTTCTTCTTGTGACACCATTCACTGAAAGTTTAGGTCTTTCTTCAATCTGAGTGCGTTTGAATTGAGAAAATGGGTGATTGGTATCAGCTCGCTCAATCTCTAATCTTCGGTTTGATCTTCGCTTACCTTCTCGCCAAGCTAATCTCTATCCTCCTCGCGTTTAAAGAAGACAACCTCTCCCTCACTCGCAACAACCACGAGACCGCTCAATCGGAGAGTGACTATCGCAAGGTTGGATCTTTAACCGGCGAGACTGATTCTCTTGTGGCGGAGCAAGGAAGTTTGAGAGGTGATGAAGATGATGAGGATGAGGATGATGATTGGGAAGGTGTGGAAAGTACGGAGCTTGATGAAGCATTCAGTGCTGCGACTGCTTTTGTTGCGGCTGCTGCTTCGGACAGGCTTTCTCAGAAAGTATCGAATGAGTTGCAGCTTCAGCTTTATGGCTTGTATAAGATTGCTACTGAAGGAGCTTGTACTGCTCCACAACCTTCAGCTCTCAAAATGACTGCTCGTGCCAAATGGTTTGCCTCTCTCTCTCTTAGATTCTTACTCTCTTTCTCTCTGTGTGTGAAGATGATTACTTGATTATGTTTACTTGAGATAGTTGAGGTATCTTTTTTTATTGGTGGCTTGATGTTATTATATAACTGTTTTATTATTGTTTAGGAATGCAGTTTGATTGACTGAGACTTGTTATGATCATTTTTTTTTTTGATCTTGGTTTAGGCAAGCATGGCAGAAAATGGGTGCTATGCCAGCTGAGGAAGCGATGGAGAAGTACATCGACCTTGTCACTCAGTTATACCCAGCTTGGGTTGAAGGTGGCTCGGTACTTTTCCTTTTACCCGCTTCTCATTTCCTTGGACTGTTTAAGGTTGTTTTTTTTAACTGTTTGCTTTGTTCTGATGTTTAGAAAGGAAGAAATCGTAGTGTTGATGCTGCAGGATCCAACTCTAAAGCACCTATGGGACCGGTTTTTAGCTCATTGGTTTACGAAGAAGATACTGAAAATGAGTTGTAAGGTTCTAAGCAATTTATCTACACATTCTGATATCTTTTTACATGTTTTTCACAGAAGGATTCTGTTTATACACCTCATGTAGAATCATATTTCATACCAGTCACTTGAATGGATCCATTTGTAGTTGAATATTCACTTAGTCAGAAGTCAATGTCATTTAGTTTCAGATGAAGCTCTATTCATTCTTGTTTCTTTGTCCATGTTACAGAAAGATTGATGCAATTCACGCCTTTGCCAGAGAAGGAGAAGTTGAGAATCTATTAAAATGCATAGAAAGTGGCATACCAGTAAATGCAAGAGGTTACTTATTAATAGTCTCTCCTTATATACATCGTTTTCGATTTGCTTTCAAGTTTCAAGGTGTCTCCATTTTTAAAATTTCAGACAGTGAAGGTCGGACACCGCTTCACTGGGCTATAGACCGTGGCCACTTAAATGTTGCTAAAGCTCTTGTTGATAACAAGGCCGATGTTAATGCCAAAGTAAATTCAAAACCCTTAACTATTAGATTTGTGTGTTTCTTTAGATGACTTTAACTTTTGTTTTGTGTAGGACAATGAAGGCCAAACCGCTCTGCACTACGCTGTTGTGTGCGAAAGAGAAGCTCTTGCAGAGTTTCTAGTGAAGCAGAAAGCTGATACAAGCATTAAAGACGAAGATGGAAACTCGCCTCTTGATCTCTGTGAATCACAGTGGTCTTGGATGCGAGAGAACAAGGATTCTCATTAATTTTTGTAGTCTTTACACTGTGTTTTATTGTCTTACAACACAGATGTTTTGTTTTATACCTTCTTGTTACTTTGCTTCTGTTTGAACTAAGAGTTATAGGCTACTGAACACACCACATAAAAGTAACTGTTTTGTTTGTTACAATATCGAACCTGAGAGAGATCATCATCCCAATAAAGCTCAAAATTTTACTTTTAAATATCAACTAGTGACTGTATTTTCATTATATACTAGATCATGTCCTGCGTAGATGCGCGGATTTTATTATCATGTCCTGCGTAGATGCGCGGATTTTATTTTTTCGAATGTATTCTATAAAATTTAATTTTATATATTTTTGAATTTGTTATGTTTGATTTTATATTTAAAGAATAATATCACAACGGTCTTTTGTATTAATAGCATCAATTAGTGTATTATGTAGATGTAATCGTGCAGTGAAAATATTAATTCAATACGTTTGTTCGAAGTGCAAAATCAAATTCAATGTTAGCTATTTGCATTAAAAACAATAAGTTGAGAGTTTTAAATACTTATTTGATCAAAAAAAAATTACTTCTACTGTTAATAATTATCCAAATTTTCTAAAATAATATACAAATTTCTAAAAAATTTGGCATTATCCTTTATTTTATAGGTTAGGTCAAATTCAAAGTTAAATTTGGTCTTAACTTTGCAAGAACATATATTTTACGAAGAAAAAAATCATAAATAACTTAACAAATATTTTGGTAATTTGAAAGAATTTATGTATTTAAAATATTTTTCATTTAAATCAGTATTTTTAAATTCAACCAGGACCGGGGTTAAACCGGTGATCCGATAATTTAATTTTGATTTTTATAATTATCCATATCTAAAACCCGAGAGTAATCAATTAACTGATATTTAATATTTAAACATGTAAAAATAAGTTTATTTTCATTTTTTATATATTTATTGAATTTTTATAATTTATCTAAATAATTTGAAAGAAAATTGTGAAAATATTAAAATGGGTGAGATCTAATATTTTGTCTTGTTTGGACATGAAATTAATGATAGTGCTGTTTGGAAACATGGATAGTAATATTAAAAAATAAATATATTGTTTGGAAATTAGAATTAAAAAAAAAATTGTTTGGAAACATAGATAATAGTATAAAGAAATGAATATTAGTGATTTAATGTATGTTTAACTATCAAGTAAAAAGATGTATTTAATTTAAAAACTTACAAAATAAATATTAGGTCTAACCTAATCTTTCTTTTTTAATAAGATATGTATTACTAAACCATAAATTAACCATTATCATCTTATTTTATTGACATGTATAGTTCTTACTTTCTGTTATATCGAATATTAAAAAAAATATTGGTGTGGCTTTGTTAAAAACACAAAGGAGTTTTTTTAAGTGAACATGTACATAGTTCCATGAGATGACTAGTGAAACCAAAAGTTCACTTAATTACAACTAGGTGACCGGTCCGCACCCTGTGCGGGTATATACATATTCAAATTATGGACTTAATAATACAAAGTTTTAGAAGTAATAGATTTTATATCATAAGATCACCGTCTTTGAGGTAAAGCATCAGACAAAGAAAAATGCTGGTACACAATATTTTACATGGAGGAGATGAAACAAAGTAACTTCAGTATCAATAGGTAGTTATTGTGTGTATTTATAATTGCAACATCACAAAAAAAATTGTGTGTTGAAGGTTGAATTTTATTTTCCAAATCTGAAATTAATAGTGTGTATTTTTATAAGTAACATATTTTCTATTATCACTAATTAGAATTTTATTGTATATGTGTTGTAATTCTTTATTTTAGGTGAAAAATATTATTATGCATAATTTTTCGTAAAATGTATGTAGACAGATTAAAAGAAATATTACAAGTATCCTTCTTGCTCTCTCTCTTTCGCTCTCTCTCTTTCGCTCTCTCTCTCTCTCTCTCGCTCTCTCTCTCTCTCTCTCTCTCTCCCTCTCTCTCTCTCCCTCTCTCTCTCTCCCTCTATCTCTCCCTAGCTCTCTCTCCCTCCCTCCCTCCCTCTCTCTCATTCCCTCTGTCTCTCTCCCTCCCTCTCTCTCTCCCTCCCTCTCTCTCTCTCTCTCTCTCTCTCTCTCTCTCTGATTTTGGGACAACGAAATTTAATTAGGTCATTAAAGATTAGTACATTTGATACATCAATTCACTTTTTGTTTCAATGATCTAATAAAAGTTATAAGACAATACTATGAAAAAGAAGATGTAATAAAACTGAAGAACTTATACGACAATAATGAGAAAATGCTTTTATTATTAATTTATAACATTACAATAACGCGAATTCCACAAAAGTAAAACAAAAAATTCAATTAATAGAAATTATAACAAAAGCCACAGCTTAACCAATAGAGGAGTATACTATTGATAACACGCTCAAAACTTAAACAACGTCAATGAGCTTCCGTTCAAAAGCATGATTGATTCAATCTACTCCAAGTCTGAAAGAACATGTAAAAAATTATATTTACCCAAAACAATTTCTAATAACGTTTTCTTTTGAAAAAAATATGAGTTTACTTGGTTTATCCGTATTTTTTCTTTGGTTGCATAATATATCTTGTGATAGTTTTTTTCAAGTAGCATTCCAAACGTTTTCTGGATTTGTGTTACTATGTTTTAGTAATAGGACACAAAACAGCTTGCGTAGATCCTTTGCTGATGCCCAATAACATGTTTCTTTAATAACTTCAATATTTTCTTCATCATAGTCCTTGCAGATAACAGAAGAAGTTATTTTTTTCTAAAAACGTCATTAGATTAAGCTTTGAAGAAAATAAGCAACTTAAAATGTAAACCACAAGAAAATGTAAGATATATATAATAGTGTTTATATGGTTGCACGATAAGTTAGTATCAAATAATATATTCGTATTGTTTATTACATTCTTTTTATTGCTATATAGATGTTCTGAATTTAATGCGTTAACATAAATCATTCTTAATTATTACCAATCAATCTTGTGAATTAAATCTATACAATACTCCCTCTGATTTAAAAATTGATGTTTTAGACTTTTCACATGTACACTATTAAGAAAACTCATTAAATTTTGATTGTAAATGCATTGTCTTTTATGAATAATATTTTTCCATAGCTTTTAGCCAATATAAATTCAATAAACACCATTAATTTTTTTGAAAATTACAATTTTTCATTAAATCATACATTGAAAAAGTAAAAAATCAATCTTTTTGAAATTTGATTTTTTTCCGAACATCAATCATTTAGGAACGGGGGAGTATATGTTACGTGATGTTGTAATCATCATTAACTGGTAATCATTAATGTGATAAATGTTGACATATTTTTCATTCAAGGCAAGTTGTGAGAATTAAATAATAAACAAGTAATAATATAATTGTTAAATGACGATAATAATAACTATAAAATGACCTTATTATATATTGAGATCTGAAAAAATAATCTAATAAAAATATAACTAAAAAAACAAAAAACGAACACATTGACTAAATAATAACATGTCATTAGACCGAAAATTAGATAATTTCATCTCTTCCAACAGATTATTACTAAAACATGAGTGTTATTACAATGCAATTATTTTAAAAATTGTCATGAGCACAAGAAAAGACTCAATGTGTTTTTCTTTGAAATAAATAATAATGAATAACGCAGATAGTGATAAAAGACTAAATGTGTTGTTCCTGGAAAATATTCACAAATAAATATTTTTAAAAAAATTCGAGAACACTCGCCCTTGATTTTTTTGTGGGAATGTTTTTTGTTGACAGAGTGTTGATCCTCCAAGGTTACTGTCATGATCTTCTTGGTTTTTTATTTTAGACAAATGAGTTCCTGAAAAATCACCACCAAAGGAAATATCACCTAAGAACTGCAACATCATGACCTGCAAGAGATATAGTTCATCTCATTAATATGCTATTGTAACTATAAACTCTAAGCAATTATAAAGTGTAATACCGATTTAGGAGGCAAAGCAGAAAATATTAATTTTTTATAATAAATATTTAAACTGAATAAAGAAAGTTATTAAATCTACAATATCATAAGCTGATTTGAATTAAATATTATTCTTCTTGTGCAAGTTATATTAATTTAAAATAAGGCATGAAGCAATTTAAAGAAATATATTAAAAAATAAAGCTCAATCAGCAAACCAAAGAAATATATATATGTATATATAAGCTTATAATTCTAAACAATAATATAAATCTACTAATCAAAAAAAAAATATAGCTGAGAGATGTTATCAAATAGAGATGTTTTTTTTACCAGATTGAGGAACAAAGATGTTATCGAAATGATATATCAAAGAGGTGTACAATCAAATCATATATAGCTTCAGTGGAGAAATCGTCATAATAGGATATCTTCATATAAACCAAAAGAAAAATCAGCTATCATGAAATATAAAAGCTTAATGTTCTAAAATAAGAAGAAAAAAAAAGTTCAGAACATTATTAACATAAAAAGTTCAGAATACAAAGTTCAATGATTTCAGTTCTTTTACTGTGAATGTCTTATTTATAGTAAATTGATGGACGTTTCTCAATGATTTAGCTTGCGTGATATTCTCTAATAAATTCTCAATAAATCTTATACTTATAAGGTAATATTATATTTGGAATATCTTGTTGATAAAGCTAAAGGAGAACATCTCGTGAATAGATTGCACCAGAATTTTGGTTTAAGTTTTAAATGCATGATTTTAGGAGAGAAATTATTTTATCAATTAATTTTGTTTTAAATGCATGATTTTAAGAGTGAAAATATCTTGTCAATTAATTTTGTTTCTCTGACATCTAAAATATTTAATGAGTATTTAATGAATTAAACAGAGAAAGGATCGCAAAAGGATGTTCTTTGAATTGAGAAAACACAAAAGGTAAGTATTTAAATGGATTTCCTTTTTAATAGTGTCGATGGTAAAAATAAATCAAAAAATAAATTCTAAAAAATCAACCAATAGAATATATTCTCTGTTTGCGACCTGCGATAATGTATCTAAATATTTTAAATATGAATGTGGTAATTTATTAGTAAACATATATTATTTAGTAATACTTAAATTCTGAAATATCCTTTATGTAGTATTTAGTGAATTTTTAACATATTTAAGTATAATATGTATGTGTGTTGTTCTAACAATAATTATATAA